TGTTATTATATTATATCATCCAAAGGAATACCAACCTTCCAACCCTAAGTATCAATATCAAATTGAAGGAAGGTATAGCACAAGGGAGGACTTCTCAGATTATAGGTAAACAGTGTGGATATTCCTATATACAAAGTTTGAAATTCTAACATGTGCATATAACAAAATAGATCAAGCAACAATAGTAGGGATTAGAGATGAAGGTTACAAGGGGGCAAAGGTTAGGGGAGGCTTGCACAACGACAGGAGAGAGACTCCCATAATGCGAGAGGAAAATCCATATGCCTAACTTAGATTAGGGTTGTAAACCAATCAGAATTGAATATAATTGTCCTTACTGTTCATCCTAACCTAGATTCATTTTGCATCATTTATTACACTCCCCTTATTTTCTTATATCTCTTAGGCCTTGTTTGCTTTTCAATAAGTTACTTACCCGAGTAAATGCAAATACCTAGGCAAGTTTTTAATGAGAAACACTTACCCGGGTAAGTGCATTTACCCATGCTCTTTTATTTCCCATGTAAATAAGGTAACGACCATTTTAGCCATAAAAATTTATTATTAAAAATGAGCATTTTTGCCTCATTCAAGTGTTAGCAACTTTCCCCCCAGGTGGGAAAGTTATTTACCCACCTAGGAGATGGGTATCACTTACCGTAGTAAGTGATGCACAGGAAAATAAACTTTCCTTGGACCCTATTTAAATCTAAAAAATGAACACAGGGTTCTTCGTTAATGGGAACCAAAATCCCATTAACCAACTTTCCCTCTCTCAAAATCCAAAAAAAAGAATGCCCCCTTAATGTGTTTTCATTATTCGTCAAAATTCTATAGTGATCTAAAACAATTTTGATCAATAACCCTAAACCAAAATGCTAAATGTTTGTTTGCTAGTCCTAAAATTCAATTCAAATTTCTATTTAGCATAAAGCCATACACTTTCATCCCTAATGCCTATCCAGCCAAATGTTTAAGGGTCACTTACCAAAACACCCCCTATAGTTTTATGAGTTTACTAAAACCTACCCTATAGTTCGTGTTTGTCTTAACAGACTTATAGTTTGCAATCAATTTACTTAATCGACCTTCCATTATATGAGAGTGGAAAATGACTGTTTTGATCATAACATCAATTCAAATAAATTTAATCAAAAGAAAATAAAAATAAAAATGCTAATTTTGCCCCTCATAAGACATGAACAACCACTCTATTTTGTTATATTTGGTCATTATTTTCTATACAAAAAAAAAGTATTAGGGGTACTTTGGAATAAACAACTATGGATACATTACCCTTAAACATTTTCCACTCAGTTTATGGGTACTTTCGTAATAAACAGCCATGGATCTATGCCCTTGAACATTTTCCACTTAGTTTATGTGATCATGGTACTATTTTTAGATGCCAAACCAAATAGTTTTTAATGAAAGGTCAATTAAGTAAATAGGTTGCAAATTATGAGGGGTGTTTTAGTAAAATAAAAACTATAGGGTACGTATAAGTAGACTCATAAAACTATAAAAGGTGTTCTAGTAAATGACCCAATATTTAATTATACTCAAATTTCCTAATCAGTCCAGCATCATTAAGATCGTGCTCAATATCTTACCCATTTATAAAAAAGAAGAAATGGATGAATCGTCCGTCCAACACCTTGATTTTATATTTCCAGTCCTACCCCTCCCTGATTTTATATTTTCAATTGTATCCCCTGAAGAAAATGAGACAAGTAAACACTTTGATTTTATATTTCCAATCCTACCCCTCCCTGATTTCATATTTTCAATTGTATCCCTTGAAGAGAAAGGAACAAATAGATTTTCATATTTCCAATCGTATCCCCTGAAGAGAATGGGGCAAGTAAATTTTGGGCGAACACCTTAGACTCCAACACCCTGATTTTATATTTCCAATCCTACCCCTCCCTGATTTTATATTTCCAATCGTATCCCCTAAAGAGAATGAGACAAGTAAACACTCTGATTTTATATTTCCAGTCCAACCCCCTCCCTGATTTCATATTTTCAATCGTATCCCCTAAAGAGAATGGAACAAATAGATTTTCATATTTCCAATCGTATCCCCTGAAGAGAATGGGACAAGTAGATTTTGGGCGAACATCTTAGACTCCAACACCCTAATTTTACATTTCTAATCCTACCCCCTCCCTGATTTCATATTTCCAATCGTATCCCCTCTTAAAATGCCTGAAGAGAATGGGACAAGTAGATTTTGGACGAACACCCTGATTTGTCCCATTCGTAATATTGGGCAAAACACCCTCATTTGATCCATTCGTAATAGCAAATGCATGTTTCTCCCCTTCTCACCCCTACAATGCTGTCGGTTGTCCTACTTGGCAAACACCCTGTTATTGGCATTGGAAAACAGGAAGTTTCTCTTCTCCATTTCACGAATGATTTTGGTGCTAAGAGGCAAATAAGAGAAAGGCAGCAGAGGGTGTTTCGGCATTGACACTTGTCACGTATGGAACTCCAAGTGTTTATTTTCTTGGATTTCGAAGATAATCGGACTTATTGCGCTAAGAGGAAGAAGACCGAAGCGAAATGCATGTTGAAATACTTCTCAGCAGTGTTAGGATTTTCCCCATCTCAGTGGTAAGATCCTTTTAGGTTTAGGTTTTTTGTTTTGGTTTATCAACAATTTAGTTGTTCATAAATTTTTCAATATTTTGGGTTTTTTAGCTCAGACCTCCCAACAATGTAGTTGGGTTTTGATTTTTACTTTTTAGCAGCAAGTGAGAAATTTTCTATTTTGGTTTATCAACAATGTAGTTGTTGATAAATTTTTCAGTATTTTGGGTTGTTTAGTTCAGGCCTCCTAACAATGTAGTTGGGTTTTGATTTTTACTTTTTAGTAGCAAGTGAGAAATTTAAAAAATCCTTAGTTTTTGTTTGTCGGATGTTTTGGTTTATTAGCAATCTAGTTGTTGATAAATTTTTCAATATTTTGGGTTTTTTAGCTCAGGCCTCCCAACAATGTAGTTGGGTTTTGATTTTTACTTTTTTAGCAGCAAGTGAAAATTTTGAAAAATTCTTACTTTTTTTTTGTCGGAATAGTTCTCAGCAGTGTCAGGATTTTGCCCATCTTAGTGGTAATTTCTAACCTTTGTTTTTCTCATATATCTTTTTAGGTTTAGGTTTTATAAATAGATTTCCAAATTAAATAGAATTTTCTGTTTTGGTTTATCAACAATGTAGTTGCTGATAAATTTTTCAGTATTTCGGGTTTTTTAGCTCAGGTCTCCCAACAATGTAGTTGGGTTATGATTTTTACTTTTTAGCAGCGAGTAAGAAATTTAAAAAATTCTTACTTTTTGTTTTGATTTTCTCCACTATAACTTAGGTTTCTTATGTTTCTTTTTCTCTTGTGAAAGTCTAAAAATTTTGAGATTTTAGACTCTTTTCTAGAACATCAAGGTACTTTATATAACTTTGACTGAAATAATAACTAAAGTTACATGTCATTCTCATTTATCTTTTAGGTTTTTAATGAATATAACTGCATTATTCAATTGATTTTAATTAGATTTTATAAAAAGATATCCTGTTTTGTGTTTTTTGTTCCTATTTTTTGTGATTAAATTAAATAAAATTTTCTGTTTTGGTTTATGAGCAATAGATTACTGAATCATGAATGGAATTTTTACTATTTTGGTTTAACAATAGATTTTTATTGATCGGGTATAGGTATTTTAGTTCATTAACACTGAAGCATATTCAAAGAGGGTTAAAATCAATATCAATTTCGGTGGTTCAACTGATGGTAGTTTTTCAGCATTTTGGGTTTTTTAGTTCAGGCCTCCCAAAAATGTAGTTTGGTGCAACATAATGATAGGTAAGGATTTTTAGCAGCAAGTGAGAAATTTCAAAAATTCTTACTTTTTGTTTTGATTTTTCTCCACTATAACTTGGGTTTGTCTACTATAATGATAGGTTTCTTTTTCTTATGTTTCCAACTAGCACCCAAAACAAATGTTGTTTATTTATCCCTTTGCTTAGCCAATGCATCTGTCATTGCATTGGCTATTCTTGCTACCCAATTAAAACGATGCAAATCCCTTTACAACCTCTATCTCCCTCATGATGCTTCAATATAGTCATCTCAAATAATGACTTCTGCTATTCAATAGTTAATTAATTAAATTAACATAATAGCTTAGTTTAATTCTAACTATTAATAGTAATTATTTTCATAAGTTTTAAGTTATCACAAAAGAGGAAATCGGTTAAGAGTGGCATCTCCAATTCTCCATAAATTTTGTTTCATTGGGATGAAGTGTATCTGTATATAATGTCGTTGAATGTAATTTTATCATTGATTTGGTGAATTAATGTTTTAATCTAATGCACTTGCAACCAACATTTTATAATTATAAAATTTGGATCTTAGCATTTTGTGAGAACAAGGTTCAAAGTATCATTACGTATCGGCCGATACGTGTCGTTCCGGGACCCTTAGATATGCCCCTACAGTGGGTGTATCAGAGGTCTAGCCGGTTCAAGGGATGGAGGGGTCCTAGACCGGCTCCCCTGAACTAGTTTTGAAAAAAAAAATAAAAAACAAGTAAAAAGCACAAGTATCAAAATGCCCAATATGCCCATACTAGCATATCGAGCGTATCGATATTTTGAACCTTGTGTGAGGATAGTCTTTTTTTATGTATTATATAATTGTCTTAGGACTTGAACAGTATATCAACTTTCATTTATGCCTGAGATGTAAAAGCATAGTCAAACATCACCAATACCATGTGCATCGCACGGGCCATTCCACTAGTTATAAAAAAAAAAAAGAAAAAAAGATCGTACACGAAAGGTTATGGAGAAAACAATAAATAAATAATATATGAAAAGTGATAACAAAATATTAGGGCAATTTTCGGTAACCCAACTGAAATAAAACGAGAAACCATTTGAATTTCAAGTACATCATAAATCCAAAAGAAAAAAAAAAAAAAAAACAAAATGGCAGGTAAGCTCAAAAATCAATAGTTTAATTAATTTAATGGCAAAATTACTACCAAAAAAATTAATTTTATGGCAAAAGAATGGCAAATACAACTTAACCTGAAACCAGCCTGAACATTACTATTTACATATTAGATTGTCTATACACTTGAGTATGAATGTAACTTTGGTCAAATTAGAACTACGAAGGCATATTTGTAGTAACGAGTTTCCCTTGAAGCCTTGCAACCCGTTCCTGCATGTGAAATGACTACAGAATAAGTCAACAGAAAAAAAAATCTTTATATATTTATAAGGTCAACAATATTTTTGGAACGGAGTTTTGTGCAATCAAAAAACGTCCAAAAAATGAACATGATAGAAATGTGAATGCTGATATGGATTAATGAAAAAAACTATAAAGGATGGGGCACAGAAAATGAATTTATTTGAATAAAGTTAGGAGTAGCTCGAATAGGGGGAAAAACAAGGGAAACTAGACTAAAATGGTTTAGTCATGGTCAGAGGAGCATCTTTAACGCCAGTAAGAAGTAATCTGTAAACAGAAGGGACTAGAAGAGTTATGGGCAGAACAGAAAGGATATGGGTTAGGTAATGAGAAATTATTTAGGGAACCCATTACTTAAAAATGGATAAGGAACCAAATAGCACAGAATATAGGAATGGGATTCATGTAGCTGACCCCGTGTAGTTGAGACAACACAATGATATATATAGCCTGATCAAGTTGTTAAGAATTCAGTGTTGCAACCCTATTATAGTTGTTAACATCTAGATGAAATGCAAGTTTTCTTTGATGGATCAAGATGAACATTGCAAGCTCTGGCTGACGTGTGTGAGAACGCAAGTTTGAGTCTGAGACCAGCCACATGTGTAAGAAATGCTAAAGGTGCTTTTTTTAAAATGATCAAGGTAACATGAAATATGTATTTGTGCTTCAAATCTAGAAATACCACCAGAATCTGACCATTGACAACCATATTTCAGAAAGAACAATAGAACAAAAGGTGCATGCTTTCAAGTTTGAATGCAACCTATGCATGGGCCACTTACTTGATGTAATGGCAATGAAAATTGGGGACTGAGAAGCATGAGAATACAGATCCAAATCTCACAGTAGTCACTTTGTGCAAAAAAGACTAAAGTTCATATCCAGTCCACCCCTCCCAAGACCCAGGTAGCTAGGACCAACATTTGGTATTGTCCCAGTTGAAGTTGGGATGCAGTACCATCTTAAGAGTGAAGAATATAAACAAAACAGCAACAGTTTCTTGGTCCAATTTTATACTCTTTCCTGAAGACTACCTCAGGCCATGTCATGATGGGAATGGAGAACCCTCCATAGTTGTATCATGGACAAAGTTGCACCCAGGACAAAGTTGTATTCAAATCAAAAAGAGATTGTTCAGTTTTTTGGATCAGAGCAATGTGTGTGTGTTTTGGGTGTTGCAACTTTTTACGCCATTTTCCTTGGGACAGAAACACACAGCTTATGTTTAGGAAGGGAAGAAGTATTTTGCATGAATTATTATGGTACTGACTTCAAGGTGGCACCCATGGAAAGTGGGTTCTGATTTTAGTATTTTACTAAGGGTGGGCCTTGGCGCAACAGTTGGGTTGCTCCATTACGACCTGGGTGACCAGGGTTCAAAGTTTCAAATCTTGGAAACAGCCTCTGTATGTGCAGGGGTAAGGCAGCATACTGTCCCACCCCAGATCCCAATCATGACTCCTCTTCTATTTCAGTTTTTGGAAGAAATGAATGAAACCTTGAAAGATTTTGAACGGCGAATCGAGGGATCAATTTGTAAAGCAGTTAGATATGATTTCTCAGCTGCATCAAAATCTTCAATAGCCAAAAATGCATCACCTTGAGAGAGATAAGCCTGCAGCATTTAAACTAGTTAGCATCTAAAAAGGATGAGGCTTTTAGAAACAAATTATTTTGGGGTACAATTCCAAGCTGAGGAAATGTAAAGGAATAAAGGCAAGGCTAACATTTGTAATGGGGTGCAAGGAACAAAATATGTAATATAAATTCTTTTTTCATTATGTAATGAAGTTATTTTACCAATCAAAAAAATGGTTGTATCCATCAAAGAAAGACATTTTTTAATGGTTGGAACTCATTGTCCACCTAATAGAGTAGTCCTCTGGGACCCATAGGGTTGGCTACGTCTCTGCTTGAGAACCCTCCTGTATATTTCATATGTATATATAAAGGCTAGATTAGGTAATGTATTATATATGTATATAAAGGCCATTACTCCCAGCTATCTGGGGTCTTGGGGCGAGGGGGACTGTATACAGACCTTTTTTGGCACAAATGCTCTCATATAAATCATTTGTTTCCTTCATATTACATGCAAACAAATACAGCCTAAGGAGGAGGAAAGTACTGAAGCATGCTTGTTGGTTCCAAACTTGTAAAATGCTCTGCCCAATGAACAGTAACCCTTACCTGAGGGTATTGAGGAGCTATGGTAAAAGCTTCTTTGGCATCTTCAAGAGCCCCAGAATAGTTACCCATTGCTAATCTTGCAGCAGACCTGAAAAGCAAGGAAAAAAAAAGGAAACAAAGAAAGGAACTAGTAACAATGAAATTCCATCTAGTGTAATAGCATCAGAGAAGGAAAGAAACTATCCATGAATGTTCTAGGAATGGATCAAACTTCCTCCAGCATTCATGTCAGGTCCCTGATGAAAAGTAAGACAATGATCAAATGTGAGATAAGTTGAGAGAAGAAAAACACAAGTCTGTTTATGTGACCCCAAAGGATTGGAGACCTAGACCTAGATACTACAGAGCATATACAACTATACAAGACTCAAAATTGATATATTGTTGTAAACTTGTCATATTAAGCTGGAAATGGCAAACCACCAGCTCCTCTGAAGTATTACCAGAAAAAAAAATATAAAGGTATTTTTAACAAAGTGAAGCACATCGGTTGATTCAGTCATTTCCCTAAATTGATTACTCTTTTTACATGGAAGAAAATAAAAATTTTTGAGAATATGAATTCAGCCAACCTGCTTTTATAAATAATATGCAAGCCTCCAAGAGGTTTAAGATCAATAGCCTGCAACCATAAGACACATGGCATGGTTAGTGCCATATTCATCTCAATCCTTCTAAATTCAGGATGATCATAAACAGTGGTGAATGGCGATATCCCCCCTCCATACCAAAACAATAATAAATTACAAGTTACAAAATCATTAGCCTTTCTACAGTAGGAAGAGGAGGTTTCAAAATAAGTAGGCAATGCAAATTTAACAATAATAGGAGTAAAAGCCAGGGTACAAGTAGGATTGGAGACCAAGAGATAACTCAATGTGACCTCTTCCATTACCTTGGTTGAATAATTAATAACAAAGTGGAGATTGAGCATGTTGCCAATAGAGTTCATGGTTGTCAAGGCAACACCCAGGCGACAAAGTGCTCATGGAAGGTCACCTTGCTTAAACACCAAACTATTTTGTACATGGCATTGTTAATTATTTTTATATTCTTTACTTTTGAAATTATAATAATAAAATAGATTTTTTAAACAAAAATATTCATTTTGTGGGTTTATATATTAGTTTCTTTTTATTTTTTTCTTATTTGTTAGGGTTCAATCAACACACATGTTGGTGTTTGGTTTCTTGAACCTTTGAGAACTTAAGCTATCCCAATAACCAAGGAAGAACTTAAAATTTTGTCCAATCAACACATTCTTCCACACTTTCTTTTCTTCTTTTCCTAGGACAAAAATAGGCGCTCAACCCCTATATTTTTTGAATTTTCTTTTCTTTCTTATTATGCAAACTTAAAAGAAAAGAAAAAGAAGTGTAAAAGAAGGAAAAGGTGAAGGCTGGAGCATATATCTCATAAAGCTCCAGCATGTTACAGACATAACTCATCCTAGTAGGCTGGTACGACTTAAGCTCTTGGTGAATAAGTTTGCTAGTTAATCTTCTAATCTCACATATGATGTGACAACATCTCCACTTGTCACCTTTTCTTTTACAAAATGACAATCAACTTCAATGTATTTAGTCCTTTCATGGAAAACTGGATTGGAAGCAATGTGAGTGGAAGCTTGATTATCACAAAAGAACATCAATCTCGTAGAGAATATGCTTTAGCCAAATTAATTCACAAGTGGTGTGTGCCCAATGTTTTAAAAGTGCAAAGTGCATAAAAAGCACAAGGATCATTTTGCACCCAAGGCATGAGACGCGAGGCGCAAGATGAGGCATGCACCTTTTAGAAGCAAGGCAAAAAAATGCAATAAAAATGCTAAAACTATGGTATGAGACCACATGAACTTTCCAATATGGAACTAAATGTTCACAACCAATGGATAAACTTGAAGAGTTTATCCTGACAAAGTTGACATTCTCACACCACCCAAGTAATGAAGCAATCAGTCTGCTCAGGTTGTAACCTAAGGTGTGAGGATGTGTGTTTACTAGAAACATTTAACCAGACCATATCAGAGTAAAAATGTATTTTCTGACAGCTTTGTACTCTGAGAAGAGAGCATTACTGTACCTATTTTTTGGATACAATTTTGTGTTCTTTTGATAATTAACTTTTTGACCAAAGTTAATGCATTGGAGCATAAGATAGTTGGAGCATTTAATGATGGGCCCACACTTTTGCACCGATTTCAAACAAACAAGATGAATGCAAAAACGGTTTAAAATGTGAATCATGTTTGCATTCATGAACCGAAAAATAAGTAAATATGTAGTGTACATATTTGCATTTGCATTGCAACCAAACACAGCCTAGATATCTCACTTAATGTCCTAATGTATTTAGAATTCATATTAGGAATAAGGTAGTTAGGAGTCTTAGTGAGAAAGGTTTCCTATTAGTTTCTAATTAGTTAGATCCTTGACTAGTTTGACTAGGAAAGTTTCTAATTAGTTAGAACTCCTAGATAGTAGGAAAGTGGGCTGAAGTTAAGAACTCCCTAACTACTCTAATTTCCTAATAGGATTAGGAGGTTTAGTTATGAAGGGATTAAGGCACATCTTTAATATTTTATATTAATTAACTATATTAAAGAAAAGTAAGTGTGACAAAGAACAATCCTTATATTGATGATAAAAAAAAATGCAAATTTAAAACCAACCCAATATTGGAGTAATTTTCCTGTTTGGTGGTGAGCCAACATTCCAACCTTTTAGGTCAAATTTGTCAACCTTTGATGTCATAATTAAATAATAATAAAAATTATAAAAGAGAAAAGCACAGAAAAATATAAACAATATAAAAAAATTGTAGAAAACATCTCTAATATGTATGTTCATCATATCAAACAAAAATAAGTATAACAAATAAGAATAATTTTTATAGACAGAGAAATATAAAAGAATTATAGAAATTTTTGAAAATATATTATTTACTATCATCGTCATAAAAAATTACCAAGTGCAAATCACGTGGCACTTACTAGTGTATACAGAGATCGTTAACCCCTCCTCTCCACTTTCGCCCGTTTTGGAGTGGGAACTAGTCAACTAACGAACTTGTGTAAAGAAACAGGTCTTTCTCCGTGTATGGGAGGACACTAAGATGGACAGAGCGGGAATACAGAGGATCACATCCCAAAGAACCACCCCAGGTAAAATTCCTATTTATAACACCTGAAAAAATTCAATAATTGTCGCTATAGTGCTACCATTGCCTTGTTAACATTTTTACCTTTTTGCTTCATTGCTTTGTTAACTTTTAAGATTAACCAAAATAGAAAAATAAGGGAAAAAATCACATAAAACAACTGCTAAAGTAACTATCGTAACGGTATTTTCAACTGGAAGATTTGCAAAATGTTAAGTCATGACAAATTGAATACCTCAGAGAGTAAAGCCTCAGCCTCAGATAAGTTACTCTTCTCCAGCTCCTCCTCACCTCTCTTTCTTAGCGCAAGTGCCTCGAGATTCTTGGAAGCTTCGGACAAGTCCTTGCCGCAGAAATTTAGAAGTACTTCGGCGGCACGAAAGGCGGTTCCGCAATGACCGACAAAAATTGCATCAGGCAGGAAGACGAGGTTGGGTCCAGAGCCGCACCGGCCCAAGCAGCCACAGGAGTTGATTGAGATATCAGGAGGAGCGAGACCGGACAGAATTTCTAAGGTTCGCAGCGATCCCTGTCGACGGCAAGTCCTATTCGTGCAAACCCTAATTTCGAGCTCCGCCTTTACTGCATAATTGGGAAAAGGTGATTTGGGCTTGAAAAAACTGAGATCAAAGGGAGAAGAGGGATTCTTAGTGGGTGGAGAATTGAAAGACAATGTCGATAGTAATGGCGACAAGAAAAGGGAGATTTGAGGTTTGTTGGAGTATTGAGGGACAGTTTTGGGGTGGAAATTGAAGTAGCTTACACTGATTTTCATCTCAAGCGTATCTCGGTCTCTCAAAACACAAACAGAACACTCACTCACGTTCGTCTGCTGGTTTATTATTCTCGTTTAGTCGTTTGTTTTCTATGGACATCGTGACAACTAACAAGATAATCGGATTTGATTAAATAAAGGGATATTTAGTGTTCTCCACCTCAGATTTGATAAATTATTTTCTACCCCTAAAATTAAAAGGTCATTTATGAAGGACAAATTACAAGGACCTCCTGTACTGTGGCGTCAGTGAAAAGACCTTTTGCTTCTTTTCGATAAAGATCCCTTTAAACTTTGGCCATTAAACAAAACCCCTTTAGCATATCCTAATTAACTTCAAAAAAGATTCCATTTGATTGTTTAAAGTTTTTTAAATTTCTAAATTACCTTTTCTAATTTATTTTATCAGGCTTTTTTCCTCATCCTAACAAGGCTGAGAGGTACTTTTGGTGAATAAGTAGATAGGCTTTAGTCCAGGTAGAGGTAATGGAGTTAGTGTATTGTCCAATAAAGAGGGGGTCTTAGTCATTGACCCCATAATATAGGGGTCCTTGTAATTTATCCTTTATTAAAATACCTCCTATAATTTTATAGATTTATTAAAACCTACTTCTTGGGAAAATTCTACTTTACTACTTTAATCTTTGGGGGTAATGTCAAGTTAGTACCTGAACTTTCAAATGTATCACTGCAATACCTAAACTTTCAAAAAGTGTCAAATTAGTCTCTGTCGTTAACCGATCGTCAGTTATCTATTCAAAAATGTCAAAATTACCCTTTAAATGAAGACACTATTCATTGCCTTCTACCATAAGACTGAACTGGTTATCTTCCAAGAAAAATAGAGAAAAACATAAAATATAATAGAGGAAAACAATAACTAAAAGCAAAGAAATAACTAGACAAGAATGTGTTTCAGATCTAAAGGTAGAAGACAAATTTCATTAGTCTAGAATCTCAAACACCTCAACCAATTTAGTCTCAAGGTAGAAGACAATGAATAGTGTCTTCTTTTGAAGGGTAATTTTGATATTTTCAACAGATAACTAACAGTTGGTTAACGAAAGGGGCCAACTAAACACTTTTTGAAAGTTTAGGTACTATAGTGAGCTGTTTGGAAGTTCGGGTACTAACTTGACACTACCCCAAAGTTCAGGGTACTAAAGTGGAATTTTCCCTTTTGCATTTTATTAAAGCACCCCTTATAGTTTGAAAGCTACTTAATTAATAGACCTTCTATTAGATGACATTGGAAAATAATAGTTCTGACCCTAATGTCCATTTGAATAAATTTAATCAAAAGAAAATAAAAATTAAAGTACTATTTTGCCCCTAGTAAGACATGACGAACCACTCTATTTGGTCAATTTTGAAATAAACAATCATTGGGCCATGAACTTGAAAACATTTTTCATTCGGTTTAGGTTATTATGTTACTATTTTTAGATGGCAAAACAAACACTTTTTTAGTGAAATGTTGATTTAATAAATAGATTGCAAATTATAAGGGGTGTTTTAATAAATGAAAACTATAGCATAGGTTTAAGTAAATCCATGAAACTATAGGGGGTGTTCTAGTAAATTAACCTTAATAAAAAGATAAAATTAATCTAGATTTGTAGCACTCCTCAAACCAACCTCATCGTGCATCTCATCCGTGTATTGGAGACATCTTCCATGAATGGCAACATGCAAATACAAGAGATGTTCTTGATATACCATTGCAACATAGAGCGCTATGATATATATATATATATATATATAAGTATGTATAAACATGTATTTTATCAATAAATAATATATACTTATGTTCTACATGTAATATATGTATTACAAACGGGGACTTGTACATGGGGTACCCTTCCTTGTTCCTCGCCCCTATAAATCAAGACACTTTACTCCATCCCCACCTCGACCCCATTGGTGGGGTGGGTTCGAGGTGACGCACCCATTCCTCATCGAGGATGGGGAATCCCCAAATTTTTCCCACCCTAAGATAATCACCTAAAAAAATCAAATTTATAGACGTATGCAAATAGGATTATAGGAATTTGATTATGACAATTCGGGGGTATTTTAGGAATTGGATTATGACCAATTTGGGGGTATTTTATAAATGAAATTATGGGATCCTAGGACTATAAGAATATGAGAAAAACTTAGAGATATTTTAAAAATCAATATTAAATCTATGAATATTTTACTAATTTACCATCGGGTTTGAGGAATTATATGCAAATCCCATCCCTAATTTGGGGCAAAAATATTTTTCCTGTCTCCACCCCATCTCTGCTCGTCCCCGTTTAAGATTTGAGAAAACTTGCCCCATTCGGGGCAGGGCAAGGTAGGGCCCCAGTTTTATAGGGAAAATTGCCATTCTCACAACTCTGATAATTTTTTATAACTAATCAACTAATAGTAAATTAAATAACAATATTTTATGATAATTTCCAAAAAAAATATTGAAATTACAATTGATTGGTAGTAATGTATATAGTAAATTAATTATTTACAATAACAATAAATTAATGTAAATTATTTAATTTTTAAGCATAAATTATTTACTATTAATCAAAGTAAATATAATTATAGTAATTAATGTAATTATGGTAAATTATATTATTTTTAATTAAAAGTAAACTATTTTTTGTTAATTAATGTAAAACCAAGTATGGTCGAAGTCAAACAAGTGGTCTAGATCAGTGTGGATAGACTTAATAATTTTCCTAAATTATTTATTAAAATAATAATAATGGATTGTTATTTAAATAATAATGAAACAACTTCTAATAAATTGGTTTCCTAATTTTTTTTAAATTATTTAGTCGAATAATAATGGATTATTGTTTAAAAATTTGGAAAATATCTAAAATTTTGAGCCCAAGGTTTTTCAAAATTTTCTAAGATTCACTAAGAAATTTCCAACCCCAAAATTTTGGAAAACATTTGAAATTGACCAATACATGTTTGAAATTTGAAAAAAAAAAAAAACACATGTTACTTCATAGGCTAGTAGGAAAGGTACGATTTATTATTTTGAATTAGAGCCAATGTAATATAACTAATATTGGCACAAGCCGCACAACACATGTTGTGTATATGTTTATGGAGCAGAAAAAGGAATACTCAATATATAAGGACAAAACAATTGGTTTTCACCACCATGCTATACTCAATCCTCAAAAGTCTATCTGAAAAATCTTCTTCCTTCTTTGTTATTTTGTGTCTAGGGCTAGGGTTATTTCCTTTGTTTTAGGGTTAGTAAAGAAGAATAAAGGGTTAAAGAGTCTCTGAAGGATCGATTTTTAAAAGAAATATTTAGGTTGGACATAAAAGTTAAAGAGAAGAATAAAAAAGGTTGTAGGACACTAGATTCTAATTATGTTTTTCACCTATACAAGAGAAACTGTTCTAGGATTGGACGCTACAAGGGTAAGATAGCTCCTGCAAGTCTATCCGATTAAAGATATAGGTTGTACTTATAAGTCCTGCTGTTGTAAAGGTTTTTTTGGCACCTGAAAGTCTAATTAGTGTAAAGGTTTGGATGGCACCCATAAGTCTAGCTGGTTTAGTGTAATTCTTAGGTGTTGTGATTGAGGCAAGGAGGTATGCCTAATTTGGTCGAATCTCTATAAATCTTTTGTGTGCACTTTATTTTTTCTTGTTCTTGCATTTGTTCTTGATACTTTATCTTGAAATTTTTGCACATATTGCAATATAAACATTCTTGCTCTCCATCTTCATTATATTGCAATCAAGGTTTAAATTATCGGTATAGTTTGATACGCCATATAGGGTGTATCAAACTTTAAGGTCACATACTATTTTTTTTAGTTTTTTTCAACATGTTCAGGGGGTTAGTATAAGGCCTGGCTACCCCCTAAAATAGGTCTTACCTTGAAGCACCCTATATTTTGCATATTGGAAGTGTTTATTATGCTTTAAGAGACCCAAAAAGGTTAGACCTTGATGGTGGGAAGCATAGAGTTTCAAATTTCCTTTAGCCAAATCAGGATAGAATCGAATCCCTAAGGGAGAAAACAATTTAATTTCTCTATGTATTGATCTATGATAATCAACCAATTTGATTTTCAAGACATGGAAAGAATGCTTCCTAGTATGAATGCCACAAACTCAGCTCCCAATGTGGTGTAGCACACCCAAGAAATCAGCCAAACTCAAGCTCCAAGCTGAAGATTGCGCAACCCAATTCAAGAACTCGTTGTAGGTCAACTTTGTGAGAATCGAACCTCACTGATTTGCACTGTAATGGATTGATTAAATCTCCAATGGATTGCAGCTGTTAGTCACTCGAGAGACTAGGGTTTTTGCTAGAAAAACTTAGAAGATAAGAGATGAAAGGTTTTTGGGAGAATTGTTGTTGACGATATTGTTATCTCTCAACTCTCCTACACTCTATCTTATATAGAACTGGACTACTAGAATCCTAAAAGGAGTTTTCCAATGATTTCCAACTATTTTGGAGAATTTCTAATTGAAATAAAATTCTAAAGTAATTAGAAATTCTATGTAATGAAATTGCTAATTGAATATGAACAAATGTTTTTTAATAAATTTAGTTTTATTAATAATTTGTAGTAATTTTAATAATTTTTGTTCTTTTTATTATTTTTAAATAAAATTTTGATTAATTTAAATAAATAAAAATAATTATAAAATCTAACATTTTTATTAATTCCATTAATAATTAACAATTATATAGGAATGACAACGGGGTGGGTTCAGGGTAGGGCACCGCATCCCTTTTCCTACTCCATAGTCAAGACACTTTACCCCATCCCCACCCTGTCCCCAGTGTCACGTGGGTTAAGGGCAAGGTAACCACTCCTCAATGTCGGGCGAGTTTAGGGGCAAGGCACCTCATTCCTCATCAAGGATGGAGAACCCTCAAATTTCCCTGCTGCGTCCCCAGTATTGGGTGGGTTCAAGTAGAGGTATAAATTGGGTCGTGTTGGGTTGGCATGACACGACTCGCATGTCGCCCGCACGAAGTACGAGTCATGCCGTGTTGGCTTACGAGGTGTCCCGAGCCGTGCCTCCCTCCTCTAGGATAATAAATATACTTTTGTTTATAGTTATTTTCTATAATTATTAA